TATGGTATCAAAGTTTCCCCAAGTTATTTGGTATCAAAAGGTTCCCCCAAGTTATTGGGTATCAAAAGGTTTCCACTAGTTATTGGGTATCAAAAGGTTTCCACTAGTTATTGGATATCAAAAGGTTTCCACTAGTTATTGGGTATCAAAAGGTTCCCCCAAGTTATTGGGTATCAAAAGGTTTCCCCAAGTTATTGGGTATCAAAAGTTTCCGTTAGTTATTGGGTGTCAAAAGGTTTCTGCTAGTTATTGGGTATCAAAAGGTTTCTGCTAGTTATCAGTCCATGATATCTTGGTACTCGAGCACATGTTACATTACAAGACATCTATGAAAGCTAAAACAGCCAAGAGTCTGACAAATAGTTTGTTTAACATTGGTATTCACTCAGTAACATAGGAACTGAAAATACATCTATTGGAAAACAGCCCACACTGAAATCTGGCTTGTCAAGTCTGATATCATCATAACCACCGAGAGATAAACTATGGTATATAACATACCAATTGTATCCGTCTCCCCTTCTAGCTGCATGCATACATGTTCCAATTCTTGACTCTTATCACTCAACTCAGCCTTATCCCTCATTACTTTCGTAAATTTGTCTTCTAGTTTCTCCATAGCTACCTGTAAGGTCTCATATGCTTCTTTGGTAATAAAGTTTCCCTCAGGTGTTATAGCTGGTGCTGTCAAGAGAAAACAAATCAGTTTATATCATGTAAATATTACTAAAACTAAAATCATTGAAATAAATTAACAAGCAGCCCGTCGATTGAGATAACTCCGCTGTTAGCAATGCACATTTGAATTAAAGAACAGAAAATATCATTAGAAAATGAACATTATGTATAGTATTAAAGCAATCGGACTGGATGTTTTTAACAAGAAGTCAAAATTATCACTTTTTACCCAAAATGACAAAAATATTCATCAAAATTGGAGAATTCAAGATATCATCATGAAATGAACAAGTTGCAATAGGAATTGTAAGTTTTCAAGAAGAAGTCGAAAAAATAAAAAGTTGACATGGACATGGGACGATGACGAACAATCGCTCATATGATAAGCTTCGCTCAACAAAGTCGACAGCAGAGCTAAAAAAAAAAACAGTTCTTGTTTTGCCACAAGTAAGGTACTGTAAAATACTTTATTTTCACTTGGAATTAATTAATAAAATCCAGCGAATATACCTTTTTTCCTATATTTTAGAGTCAACTCGCCAGAAAATCAGTGAAAATAAATGCCATACAAAGCACCAAAAAAGTTTTTTCAGCAAAAATTAATTCCAGCTAAAATAAAGTATTTCACAGTACTTAAAGATTGTCTGAGGGCGCTATACTCCTAGACCACAGATACTATGTTACCTGAAGCTTGTTCTTTTTTAATGACTTCCATTTGTTCTAATAACGACTGATACTGCTCATGTTGTTCAGCAATCTCTTTGGCCTGCTGTTCTCTTTCCATTTCTAACTGTCTTATTGAAGATGATAACATGTCAACCTGCAATGAAACAATGCAATTCATGAGTGAACAATTGACCAGGGGTCTAGGGTGTCACAGTGAACAATTGACCAGGGTTCTAGGGTGTCACAGTGAACAATTGACCAGGGTTCTAGGGTGTCACAGTGAACAATTGACCAGGGTTCTAGGGTGTCACAGTGAACAATTGACCAGGGTTCTAGGGAATCACAGTGAACAATTGACCAGGGTTTTAGGGAGTCACAGTGAACAATTGACCAGGGTTTTAGGGAGTCACAGTGAACAATTGACCACGGTTCTAGGGCGTCACAGTGAACAATAGACCAGGGTTCTAGGGCGTCACAGTAAACAATTGACCAGGGTTCTAGGGTGTCACAGTGAACAATTGACCAGGGTTCTAGGGCGTCACAGTGAACAATTGACCAGGGTTCTAGGGCGTCACAGTGAACAATAAACCAGGGTTCTAGGGCGTCACAGTGAACAATACACCAGGGTTCTAGGGCGTCACAGTGAACAATACACCAAGGGTTCTAGGG